GTACCACGCATAGTACAGGATATCCCTCGATTAGCTCAGGTACAACGCTTGGTACAAGATATCCCTCGATTAGCTCAGGTACAACGCCTGGTACAAGATATCCCATGGTTGGCTCGGGTACCATGCCTGGTACAAGATATCCCTTGATTGGATCGGGTACCACGCCCGGTACAAGATATCTCATGGTTGTCTCGGGTACCACGCCTGGTACAAGGATATCCATATATGGTTTGCTCGAGTACCACGCCGGTACAATTAACTTATGGTTAATTTGGGTACCACATCGGTACACTAACACTTGGTATGTAGATTCCATGAATGAATCTTCTTTATTTATTATGTTATGTCTATCACATGTTGGTCCATGAGTGGCTAAATTGATGTATTTAAATGCTAGAGTGGTTCTTGAGTAGATCAGGGTTGCATGTTATATACAATAGATGACGTCTTAAGGATCTTTGGTGGTCCGGGTTACATTAAAGGTATAATGAATCAAGTATGACTCATTGTAATGTTGTGGATCATGTGCTTTGTGAATGTTAAGTCAGGATGTTGACCGAGAGTTTCGCTTATTCACTAGCTTGCACTGTATTGTCAGTTTGGGTGGTCTGGGACATAACTAGGGATTTGAGTAAAAAATCTCTAGTAGGAATATGGTCAACTAAATTGGTCAAGGGCCAATGTATTGGTATGAGAGCTTGATGGAGAGTAGTAAACCAGTTAACAAAGTTAGTGGTGGACTTGTATTTAGGAATGAAAATAGTAGAGGAATTTTGGTGTTGGTAAAATGAGTGATTCAGAAAGTATTATATGATAGAAATGTTAGTTTATGATATGATATGAGAGTGGAATGTCCTAGATAGTAGAGTTGGCAAGGGTTGGCTTTGGTACACATTTGGTACAAGGATATCCATATATAGTTGACTAGGATACCACACTGGTACAATTAACTTACGATTGACTCACGTACTATGCTGGTTCACTAATAATTTTTGTGTGGGGCTCCCTGAGTAAACCATATTTATTTATTTATTGTGTCGTATTTATTATATGTTGGTCCTTAAGTGACTGAATTAGTGTATTTAAATGCTAGAGTGGTTCTTGAGTAGACCGAAATTACATGTTAAATATTGTAGATGAGTCTTAAGGATCCTTGGTGGTCCTAATTACTTGAAAGGTGTGATGATTCAGGTATGACTTATTGAAATGATATGGATCATGTGATTTGTGAATGTTAAGTCAGGACATTGACTGGGCAATTTGCTTATTCACTAGCTTACACTGTATTGTCAGTCATGGGTGGTCTAGGACATATCTGATAAGGAAAATTTGAGTCAAGAAAGTTTAGTAAGAGTCTCACATGTGGTCAACTAAATTGTTCAAAGGTTATTGTATTGACATGAGAGTCTGAGGGAGAGTAGTAGATCGGTTAACAAAGTTAGTGGTGGACTTGTACTTACGAATGGAAAAAATAGAGGAATTCTAATGTTGATAAAGTGGTGATTGAAGGGTGGGGGTTCTAATCATGTCTCTAAGTTTCACATTTCTTTAGTTTATTGCATGATATTATGTGGTGGATTCAAGTTTATCAATGATACCTACCAGTACGTATTATTTGTACTGATACTACTCTTGCACCTATGCCACTTGGCATAGTATGGTTGTAAGATCAGTGATGTTTCTTAGGTGAAGACGAAGAGGATCTCCGACAACTTCTACATCTCTTTCCTTATGATGGGAGATGCGTCTTATTATTTTAAACCTTGTAAATTCTTATAAGCTCTTCTACCTATTGTAACATTCCGGAAACTAGTAGGCTAAACTAGAGCTTGAAGTGAAGGTTAGAGCCTTGAATCTACCTCTCTGTACCGTAAAATAAGTGTTCACGTGTTAGAACATCAAGGTTAAAACTCCAAGGACTAACCATGGGTCCTTGAGAAATGCACCAAAAACATACCCGGGCAGTGACCCACGAGGGGCCACTCACGCCCCGTAGGCCCCCCCACGCCTCGTGGGTGAGGGGCCGTAGATGGAACCTGCAGAATCTGGTCTTAGGCCTCGACCCACGCTTTGCTAGCACGGACCGTGGGTCCAACCACAGTCCGTCTGTGAGAGGGCAGTAGGTGATGACTGGAAATCATTTTTTTGGGATTGGTTAAGGGGTACTTTGGGGTTTTCCATTTTAAGTTCATATTAAGTGACGTCGTTTTGTATTAATTTAGACTAACTATATATAGTTTTAAGATCCCAAATCAAGTCATCTTCTTCATAATTCCAAATTCCCAAATCAAAACCAACTTTTCCCCCAAAACTCTCTCTAGAACTCCAAGGAAGAAGAAGAAGAAAGTTGAAGCTAGAGTTTGAAGGAGCAAGCTTTTCCACTCAATTTCATTGGAATTAAAAGCTAAGGTATGGTAGCTCTTCATCCATGGATAGTATTCATCCATGGAGCCCCTTCAAAACCCCCAATTTCCAAGCTAGAAATCTCAAAAGTTAGGGTTTGACTTCAATCTCATAGATTCCTTTCAAATTCATTTTTAATAATTGAATTATGTTTTATTATGGATATATTGATGATTTTTATATGGTTTTATGTCGAATCCTCCAAGAATTCATGAATTCCCCTATTTTCCTGATTTGGATCTCAAAGTGTGTGTATTGATTGATCCAAGTAGAATATGATAGAATTATGCATGTAGTAATTCAACTACTTGAATTGTGTTATCATCCATGACTAATGTAGTAATTCTAGATGTATTGATGGATTGTGATTTATGGTCCTTGAAGGGCAAAGTATGAGAATTATGCATGATTATGAAGTTTATGTACATGCTTTTAGAACACTTTGAGAGTAAAGTGATTGCGCTTATGATCTAGTTGTTGTGTTGTTGGATGATTATCCTCATGTACATATTTATGTATGAATATGGTATGATGTGAGAGGTGTTCTCACAATATTATGATTCTAGGGTTGAAAGGCTATTCTCACCTATTGAATCTATGAGCTATAGTATGATTTATGTTGGATTGAGTGTCAAAACATTCTTCCATGAATATGAACTTAAGTCAAGACTTAAATATGTAATCTATTGGAATTAATGCTTAGCACCGAGTAGATATGAATATGAGATTGAAGATTTTACACTAGTTGAGTCCGGCTTTCCAAATGGGTTCCTTTTACCTTAGTATGTATCTCATGAGATGGAAACCTTCTACCATAGTTGAGTCCGGGTTTCTAGTAACAATCTCCTTATCCCATAACTATGTGCATCTTTAGCTAATGGATCCACCTAAGCTAAGAGTATGGTTCTACCTTAGGCAAGTAGAACAACCCCTTTTCGTTGTTGGGTAGACACCAGATTCCATGTTAGCTCACATGGTCTATGTCAGTTAAAGCTTATTCCCACTAGTAAAATAATATGAACAAGAATATGAAATATGGACTATGGTTACTTAAGAATCTTTACTTAGTATGGGTGAAATTATGGGATCTTACTAATGCATTGCACAAGTATGCTTTAAGGGTATCTATGGTATGTCCCTTTTATGATGTGATGATCTATGAGTTGTATGCTTATGACTTATGCTTTTCTACTATCTTCAAAATGATTCTTTGACTAAGCAAATTGCATGCATTCAACTAAAATGTCCCTTTTAACATGTTTTCATGATTTTTGTGCATGACTATCATACTTAGTGCATTTTTGTACTAACCTATATTTTCCTACATTTTCCCCCAAGTGTAGGGTCTGGTTCTCAAGGTGGTCCCCATTGTGGCTAGAGCTTGGACTTGATCACTCTCCTTGCTTGTTTGGTGAGTCCTCATGATTTGAGGACGGATAATCATTACAGTTTCATTCTTGTATTTTCACTTTCGAATTATGTTGTTTTGGGCTGTGACCCTATTTTGACTTAAGTATTGTAATAGATGGCTAATTGAGACAAGTCTAGACTTCCGCTTTCCTTTATGAAAATTTTGGACTTGAAATGCATTTTTACTCGTTATTGTTCTATGCTTATGTTATGATATGCTAAGTGGCTTACATGACGCCTTTCAAGGTTCTATGTGCCTTGTTACGTCTAGGGGGCACCCTTGGGTCGTGATACCTATTTAGCCTAGTTCCTAGGAAGGGTTCAATGTATTTCTTGATAAAAGTACCTTACTTTAATCAAGTTTGAGAGTAATTATGTATTTGAAATAGGGTGTTCATATTTACTAATAGGGGAAACAGTGCATAGCGACATACACTATCTCTGCTTCACTTGTCCAAATCATTAGAATCTTGCTTGTCGTGTTCACCATGGAGCCACTCCTATCTTATCCCCAACAACCTTATTCCTAATCTTATTGCTCTTAGAATGTTCACACATCCATCCCTACATCCTCATTCCTGCAATATGCATCTTCTGAACATGATAGTTTTTATCTGACCATCACTTTGCCCTGTACAACATCGGTCTAACCACCACTATATAGAACTTACCTTTAAGTTGTTGTGATATCCTTTTATCACATAAAACTCCAAACACAAGCCTTCACTTCATCCACACCACACCAATACAATATGTGATATCATCTTCAATGTCCCACTTCCCTGGATTACAAATATGAAGTACTTGAAATTATGGGGATATTATTATTTCCCATTTAAATTTTTGAAAGGTTCAAATTTTGAAAAAAAATATTTGTGATCTATTTTACTCAAACAAAAGTTTTCAACAAAAATAGATATCATCTTTCTTAAATTTTATAAAATTAAATGCATAAATTCAGCAATTGTACTTTAATTATAATAAATACCTAGTGACAAATATATCTTAGATTTTTCAAATTTGAGTATTTGACACCATAGTAAAATGAAAATATCACCAAGTTAATATTTCATCAAAGTTCAAAGTTAAAAAATTAATATTATCTAGACTTACAAAAATTAAATCTTGTTTGATTCTTAATTTTTTATTTTATATACTTGTATCTTTTAAACTATCATGACACACTTCAATGGGAAGTGAAGTTCTTCAATTCCTCACTTCCCCTGCTCTTTTCAATCCCTTATCCTCTCCTTTACGCTACAGATTCCCACTGAACAATTCTACTTCATATCCCACACGCTGTGTCTCTACCAGCTCCGGCGGTCGGGGAGGTGCCGGCGGCCGATGGTACAGCAATAGCAAGCGCCCAAAGGACTACCAGGGCTTTAGCTGGGATGATGAAATTAGGGCAAATGATAAGGGAGAAGAGTTTGGTTTTGGAGGCTCCACGAAGCAGCGGATTTGGTGGTCCGGTGATCCATCTACTTGGGGAGATGAGTATGATGTTGAAGATGAAGAAGCTGGAATTGATGGTTTTGGGAATATGGAGGGTTCCATTGGTTTATCCTGGGTGATGAAGGTAATTTTTTTATCATGTTTAAAGGGAATTTTTTTGGTGGTTAAGCGTTTATATTTGTAGAAATTTGATAAGTTAAAGCAATTTCACCACTACAAACAACTACTCAACCTTTCAGGATTGAAAAATCTTAATATGTGTCTGAGGAATTGTGTGATAGTTTGAATTTTGTGGAGTCTCTGTTTATATGAACTTGAAAGGCGACTGTTTGGATGTTTACTGTAATTGATATGGGAATTACTTGAGTTTGGTAAATTTATGTATCAACTACTGGGACCAAGGAACTGAAATGCTACACACTCTGTTTGATGCTACATAACTCCTTTATGATCAGTAATCACTTTTAGGGTTTCCACCAAATACTTTAACTCTTTAATTTCTCAAATGTGTCATTGTTTTTTCTTATTAGATAAATACAAGTATCAACATGTTAAAGACTTTTGAGTTGATTATTGTGAGATTATTAGTTAGTGTAGGTATGAATTGATATTTCTGGCAATAGAATCCTAATAAAAGACTACAGAGAAATTTATTAAATTAGATTATTGGTGATCTTTAAAGAATCTGCCATTGTTATTTGATATGGATTATAACATGCTAATCTTTAACATAAACCTTCTTGTAATGTAAACCTTCTTGTAATATTGAGTGCAACTAAGTTAATGCCATTTCGCATTGAAGTTAAAAAGACATAATCATGAGTATGAATAAAGCTTCTACGTAGAGAAGTGGTGAATCAATTTTGACACCTTTATATTGAGAGCAAACTCCCATTCTGATCCAAGTTTGTAATTAACTCAAAATAGTGAGAAAAACTTGTTGCATAATTCTTTTTTCTTTTTTTCCAACTATTGTTGCATAATTCTTGATTAAGAAAAATATGGTGCAGAATTGGTATCTTCCAGTGCTCTGTGAAGTATAATAATATACTGTGTTTCACTAGGTTGGTATAGCTCCACTCCACCTGCTGACATTCTTTTCAAATTTCTATGTTACTGGGTTCTAAATGGCTGTATCTATACTCACTAAAGTGAGTGCAATTACACTTTGTCCTTAACCCCCACCGATCTTGAACCTTATTTATGGTTTCCTCCTGTGATAACACTGGCTTAAAAGTTATAGAAGTCAATAGAGCATAAGATTAAGCATTTAAGAAGACGAGGGTATAATTTGAAGGTTTCACCATGAGATCTATGTTGCGACTTGCAACTGTGTTGTGGTTTCTGTAGTGGAAAAGATGTCACAAAATTTAGGCTTTTTCTGGAGTTTCATTTGGGTAAAGCTGACGATAAGGATTTGCTTTTTGCTGCCAGTGCCATTCCCATGATTCTAACATGTAAACAATGATTTATTATTGCATGTGAAACAGAGTTCATCCAACCTTTTATAGGAAAAGAAACTTTGAATGCAAGTGATCATGAGGCTCCACCTACAAATGATAGATGCAACAACGACAATACTTTATTTACAGACTGGAAAAAATTTCTCCACCCTTCTCTTCTTCTCTTATTATCATTATAATTGTAGGTTAAGCTAGTGATTTGTGATACAACTACAGTTTTTAAGTCAACCATTGGTCTCTGTTAGGTTTATGCTATTGGACATAGTCTGACTGCTTGGGAACACAAGGTTCAGGAGGCTGAACTCTGATGCAGAATGGTTGAATATGACTGTTATTTTTCTGAATGGGAAGGGAGGTGCATAGGTTCAAATTATAGAAATTTTGATGAAGGAAGATGAGTGATCTGGTTTGATTTAGGGTGAGTCCTGGCAGTTGACTGCAGTAGATGAGAAATAAGAGAGGAAGAGGATCTGTTATTTTTATACTTCTTGGGAATTGCGAGTGACCAAGACTAAGGGCTTGTCGTTGGCTGCATGAAACAAAATAATCCCATTATATGATATTGTGCACAACTAACTTAACGTTTGCCTTGCATTGTAAAAATTCCTCATTTCTGATATAGGTAACTAATTAAATATTTGGTTTCCTGTGTAAATTTTGTATAGCTAATTCAATGTTTGTTTAAATTGTTTTCATGTATTAAACTCTGCATGCCGACATAACTTATGTGAGAATTTATTTATTATTTTATGCGGAATAGAATGTGCAAAAATTGTATAGTAGTATACCTTGATTAGAAAATGTATAGACAAAACTCCCTCAGAAGTAGGCTAACTCTGCATAAAAATCTTCGTATTATTTTTCACCAGTAGCAGTACCTACAATGTTATTCACCGTATAGCTATCTCTATTTATAATCTTTTGAGTAACTGGTTATGAACTATACTACTCCCAAGTGTATTAACTTTCTCTGTTGAGAAATTATTTTGTTGAATTCACATAAACTAAGTTTCCTTAGTGCTTGAATATGCAAGGATTGCAATGTTGATAGGGGATAGGTGTCTATGGACATAAAAAACTTAGTTAAACCACTTGGTGTTGCTTCTAATGGAATATGAACCTTGGTTCCTAAGGTTGTCACTTTACTTCGTTGATTGCTAGACCAGTAGACCGTCCACTTGAGGTACTCTCTGAATTATTCTGAAAGAAGAAATGAGTCCATTTCTATACCAAGTTGAATATTGCCTTGGTATATCTATTATTCCAAACCAAATAACATGGCTCTTACTTCTGCTAGATGACTACTACCTTTATCCAGAGGAATAACAAAGTCCCTGATCATTTTCTTCTATATCCCTCAGAACTCCGATCCTGCACAACTGAGAGGTAAAATTTCACTGGATCTGCTTAGGCCTTAGGGTGCTTTTAATCGCGGCAGAAGCTTGCTATTTGCTACCAGTTGGAAGTCATTTGATATCGAGGAAGATGGTCCCAACTGGTATGGGTGGATTGAAAGTAGAAGAGGATTCATGACAAGCATACACATTAGTCATAATATACTTTTGTGGATTGGTCATATTATGTGCTTAGCTTAAGAAGGTACAGGGGAAATCAATGACAAATGGGTGAAGGTGGTCATATGAATACTCCATAAATGAGAACAGTCAGGGTAGATACATCAGAATAGTTGTGGTACAAGGAAGAAGGAAGAGACAACTTATTGTTCCTGAGTTCAAGGAGAACAAAGGATGGGATGATATTGCAGGGAAGATCCAAAGGTTTGCAGAGAAACGAAATAATAAACCATTTGGAAAGTCGACAACAAATCCACAAGGGTTGGTTGAGCAGGTGATCTCCCAAAGGTGGGTCTCAGGTTTGAAGCCCCTGCATGCAGTGCTATCAAAGGCGCGCTTTAAGCGCGCTTAATCCCCAAAGCGAGGCTCAAAACGTGTTGAGTGCTTTGCCTCGCTTTTTGTGCGCTTCAGTGTCGTCATCAAGGTTCTAAGGCAAAAGTTTCCTTGTCAATGAGCCTCTTATGAAGAAGTGAAACTAAATAATTGATATTTCACTTTATTATAAAAAATATTCAACTTCTTTGTTCATATATTTGTCATTCATGTTTATAATTATTAGTCTTGGACTAAACATACATATTTGTATTCTTTTCTCCCTTTGCGTCTTTTTTCATTAAAGTCTACGCTTTATTTGCGCTTGAAGCCCCCACGGACCTTAGAGCTTTTTTGCGCTTTTTGCCTTTGATAACACTGCCTGCATGTTTTCTTGGTCAAGTTCGTCGCAGTTTACCTCTCCTGTATGATTTGCAGGTTATTACACTAAAGGACGGGGGTATATCCTGTGTTCACCCGAAGGGTAGCAACTGTGGTTTTCCTTGTCAACAAAAAAAGTTGATAACAAATCATATGCTACCATAATCCAAAATTGATCTAACTCGAAGACTGAATACTAGCTGTGATAAGGGGGTGTTGTGGATATTAGGTCATTAGTACAACAACAAAGTTGTATGAGCAAATGCCTAATATCTAAATAAGATAGGAACATAGAGCTATGTCTAAAATGTTTTACTCCTTTGTCCTAATTTATGTGATGGTACTTGGCTTGGTCTGAAGTTTAAGAAATAAAGTAAGACTTTTGAAACTTGTGGTCTAAAATAAGCTATAGATATTTGTGTGGCTATAAATGATCTCATTAAAGGTAAAATGGGCATTTTAAAGTTAAATAATTACGAAATATAGAAATGTGTTATTCGTTTTAGAACTGACTAAAAAGGAAAGAGTGTCACATAAAAATTGGGGTAGAGCGTATGATTTAATATATGGGCTACGAAGAACTGGAACTTGGTGGCAGAACCTGGAGTGATGGAGATGGTTGGTAAAAGATTTCTCATTGAATTTCCATCAAATTATGAAGCAACTAGGGCTCTAGTGAGTGTTTTGAGATGAAGAGGTTTTACAACCAATCTTTTTGTTTGGACATTGCCTAATGCTTGAAGAATAATATTGCTAACCACATATGGATTCGATAGAACAACTTCCTGGCACATATTTTGTGGGGAGACACTATCAGAGCTATTGGAAAGCACTGTCGGGGGTTTGTGAGTCTAGATGACGAGACATGTACAAGAGCCCATTTAAAATGGGCGATAATTCAAGTTCGATCCTCATCGGCCAAAACATAGTAGTACATTTTTCTTCAACACGGGGAGTGCAGAATTAAAATTCAGGTGGATTTAGAGAAGGCTGTACAACTATTATGGAAAATCTTTTTCTCGAAGCGATGGCAATGGCCAGAGGTCCTGTGGAAGAATTGATATTGAAAAGGGAGGTGCATCAGTAATTCCACGCACCAGTGAAGTCATTGAGGGTTTCCCAGCGCTACCGCAGCTTTAATTCAAAATTTCAATTGGTGCAAAATCAGTCATGTGGTCCACATGCAAATACAAATGGAAATTAAAAAGAAAAAGCCGAATAATGGTTTGAGTCCAATTGCCTCGAAGTAAAAGGTGATTTAACCATGCTTTATTTTGTCCATTGACACCTTTCTCTCGGAATTATCAGCAGTTCAACATAAAGCTCGAAATCGTGATATAATTTCTCCAGAATCGTTGGTGATTGCAGAGAAGCAAAGGATAAAATTACAGAAA